TTCTTCGTCTGCGAGCTGCAGATCCACCACGCGGGCNTGCGGAAAGCGGAGAAGGCGTCGAAAAGCCACGAGGTCTACGAGTTCTTCCGGACCTACTTCCGCGGCGGCGAGGAGGCGACGGTGCGGCGGCGCTTCCTGCTGCTGGAGAAGGTGGACCACGTCCTGCGCCAGCACGGCGAGGACTTTGGCGCGGCGATCAAGACCGTGCTCGCCGACGACGACGAGGACGCGACGGTCGCGTTCGCGGAGCTCGTGGGCCTCGGCGGCGACGCGGACACGGCGGCCGCGATCCTGCGCACGGACGCGCGGCGGCGCGTGACCGAGCTGCACGCCGCCGCGAAGCTCGCCGTCGACGGCGGCGCGCGCGTCGACGCGGCGCTCGAGGTCCGGGCCGCGGACGCGCTCGCGCGCTACGCGGCGGCCGCGGCGGAGACGAACCGCGGCGCCGCGGCCAAGGCCCTCCGGCGCTGCCTCCGGCTCCGGGAGAAGGCCCTCGGGCCCGCGAGCTTCGCCGTCGGCGACGCGGCGGACGCGCTCGCGACGCTCTGCGACGACGAGGCCGACGCCGTCGCGTTCCTGCGCACGGCCCTCGCCATCCGCCGGCGCGAGGGCGACGGCGCCAAGGTCGGCCAGACGCTCCACAACCTCGCCGGCCACGTCGCCGCCGCGGCCAGGGGCGACGACGCGAAGCTCCGCGACGCCCTGGAGCTCTACCGCCAGGCGCTCCAGGTGCGCTCCGAGGTCTGGGGCTCGCGGTCCGACAAGGTCGCGTCGACGCTCTACGGCGCCGCGAGCGTCCTGGCCGACCTCGGCCACGGCGACGCCGCGCGCGGCGCGCTCGAGCGGTGCCTGTCCATCTACGAGAAGTCGCTCGGCGCGGACCACCCGCGCGCGGTCGACGCGAAGCTCAAGCTCGCGACGGCGCGGCGCGCCGGCGGCGACCTCGCCGGCGCCCTCGACGTCGCGCACGCGGCGGCCGCGGCGCGCGCGGCGGCCGCGGCGCACGACGACGAAGACGCGGCCGCGCGCGCGGACCTCGCGTCCGCGCTGCTGTCCGTCGCGTCGCTGCTCAACGCCCTCGACGCGGACTCCGTCGCGGACGTCCTCCCCGGCGCGGCCGGCGACCTCGCAGCGGAGCCCGTCGACGCGCTCCTCGGTCTCGTCCACGCGCTCGACCCGGACGGCGCGGCGCCCGCGGCCGCG